TGCCCCTGGCAGTCCTGCGCTTAGAGGAGAGGTGTCTTCCTGGCCTTAGAGGAGAGGTGTCTTCCTGGCCTTAGAGGAGAGGTGTCTTCCTGGCCTTAGAGGAGAGGTGTCTTTCTGTCTGTGATCCTGGCTTCACAACAAAAGGTTGAGTTTTCCCAGCAGCTGCCACCTGTAAACATGGCAGTGGCAAGTGTTGACAACAGAATTCAGGTTGGCAGTAGGCACCCCTGGTCAGAGTGGTGTGAAGCCTCGTGCAGCATTTGGGGGTCTCTTACTGGGGGGGGCACGGGCCTCTGTCCCCAAGGCCTTCACCCCACTCCGGGGCCTGACTGCCATCTGTCCAGGCCTCTCCGCTGCAGGCCCAGTGCCTCAAGATCCTGCTGGCTGCTGTCTCTCCTGGTGGGTGGCCCAGTGGGCTGTCCCTTGTGCTGGAGCGACGCAAACCACGAGGTGGGTCTCGTGGGTGACTGGGAACCTAGGCGAAGGCCAGTGCACACCAGGTCTCCTGGCGCAGGGCCCCTCCCAGTCCAGCTTGGGAGCCCAGGGCCATGGAGGGGAGGGGGAAGTCTTCAGCCTCGAATTTGAACTCCAAGTGGCTGGGAGCCAGGGGGTCGTCCACCTGGCTGGAGGCCTGCAGGGAGGACAGGGATGTGTATAAATTCAGGAACCCAGGCTGCCTCACGTGGGATTGTGGGGTCAGGAGACCTCACCCTAAGGAGTCCCCTCACTCCTGGAGGGGGGGACCTCTCGTGAGTGTCGACGTGACGACACGCTGGGCTCTCAGCCCGCGTCTAACACAGGTCAGCTCTCGGTACCAACGACCAGCTGTGTGGCCAGGCCCGAGCTCCCGGGAGAGGCCTGCAGGGGCGCTGGCCTGGCCAGGGAGTCAGACTTCCCTGAGGAGGTGCCCGGGAGCCAGCTCTGGGCACCCACCCTGCCCATATGCCTTACCTGGGAGGTGATGCAGGGCCCAGGGCAAGTAGGGGATGCCGGGTTGGGCTTGGGTTTCACAGTGGCCGCTGAGCTCTCAGGAATGGGGATGGAGGACGGCTGGGAGGCTGTGGTGTTCCCTGGGCACCCTGGGAGGATAGGTGGGACATTTATAGAAGCTGCCACACAGCCGGTCCCTCCTGCCTCAGTGCCGTGGGAGCTCCCTGCCCCTCCCCCAACCGGAGCCATCCCAGAACATGTGTGGGACAGTGTTTGCAGCGGACATGTAAACCTCGAATGGTGGAAGGTGAGACAGGCCAGGTGATTCCGCAGGGGCCACAAGCCCCACCAGAGGGCTGGGAGGGACTAGTGGCTGGGGTCCCGGCTCCCACCCAGCACCCGGGGCCCTGGCCCTGCACCTGAGGGGCCCTTGGTCTTGGCAACATTCTTAGGCTTCCTTTTCCGAGTCTGGATGCTTTCCTTCTTCATCGCCAGGGGCCGGGGCACCTGCAGAGACATGCAGGGGCGGGCGGCGGGTCCCTCTCCCTGTACAGCCAGGAGCCCTGCTGGGCGAGCTGCTGCCTGGGCTGCTGCTTCCCTTCAGGCGGGTGGAGGAGCTGTCCCACCCCAGCCTCCTGGAGCCGTCAGGGCCAGGGGGACCCTGGGGTGCAGAGGCAAGACTAAGTGTCCAGCTGCTGCCCCTGGCTGAATGGCTGTGAGAGAGCCACAGTGACGTGATGAGTCTCAGTGAGCCCATCTGCACAATGGGCCTGAAAGTAGCAGTGTGTGGGGCCCCATGTGTAACACGGCCAGCCCCAGCCCCACCCACCTTATTCCTCCCCAGCCCCCTGGTCCCTAAGTGCCAGGAAGGCTGGTCAAGTGACCCAACTGGGATCCCTGTCCGCAGCTCAGGCTCAGCAGCCCTCAGCCTCTCCCCATCCACCCTGCCCCACTCACCCCGTGCAGCTTGGTGTAGAGTCCGCAGGCATTGCACACGGGCTCGCCATCTGCGTTGCGCCGCCACAGCGTGGTGGTGGTCGTGTGGCAGTTGGTGCAGCAGAGGCCGGCACGGCGGGTCGAGGACTGTGGGAGGGGAAGGCCAGTGAGACCCGGTGCTGGGGGTCCAAGGCTCTGGGCTGCTGGGCTAGGCACAGCTGGAGGAGGGGGATGGAAGTGGACTCAGACTGACTGGCAGCCAGGCCTGGCCCACGTGGGGCCGCTAAGGTGTTGTGAAGCTGTCCTGGAGTCCATGCCCCATGAGCCTGGCACAGGTCACTTCACTTTTGGGCCTCAGTTTCCCCAGCAGTGAAATGAGGGTGATACCAGATTCACTGCAGGCCTGTTGTGGGGCTAGGATCTCATGAAGACCCCATATTTCTACGGTGAGTGGCACCTCCAGAGGCCAGGCCCCAGGCTGGACGTGTGGGGACCTGCTGGTCCTCTGGACACCTGCCTCCCAGGACCTGGGACTCAGCATGGGCATAAGTCAACAACTCCCCACTGGACAGCGGGCTGAGGGCACCAGCCTCATCGTGCCTCATGTCAGAGTAAGACTGGGCCCATCCGGAACCTTCCAAAGGCTGTTTCCTTCCCGTGTGTCCTGGCAGAGTTGGCCCCCAAGCCTGCAGGTCCATATCTGATGAGGGACCCCAAACCGCCCTATGCTTAGGTGCCTGACGGCCCAGATAGCACTGACTCCAGGGATCCTGAGAGAGCAGGCGTTTGAGGCTCAGGTTGGGGACGTAACAGGGCAGAGAATCTGAGGGGCCCTGCCACCAGCTCAGGCATCCCCGGCACCCGGAGCCCAGCCACCTCTCTCTCAGCACAGATTCTGCCTGACTCACATTTTGGTGTTTGGGTGGAGTCTTGTCACCCATAGCCCCGGAGCTCCAGATGCTCTGTTCCAGGCACAGGGCCCCAAAGGTACCTCGGACCCGAAGTCCTTCCCCGCATTCCAGCAGCATTGCCTGCCGGTGGCCCCAGCCCTCCCCAGCTACCTGCCCCCAGACTTTGTCCTGGGGGTGCTGCTCTCTCCTCACCAGCCACTGCCTCAGATGCCCCTGAACTTGTCCCATTCTCTCCTCCACTTGTACTGCCCCTGCCTGGTCCCCGTGCAGCCAGGGCCAGCCTAGGCCACATCTGCTACAGAAGCCCATGAGGACCCCATACTTAAAACTTTCCCAGCCCGAGGGCAATCAAGAGACTGCCAACCCAAGCAACAAAGGAACCTGACCTGGGGGGTTAGGGGTCAGCAGACAGGGCCAGCCTCAATTTCCCCACCTGTCAGCAGTCTCTAGGATCCTTCCTTCTGCAATGACTGAGGGTAGCAAGCCTTGGTGACCACCCACTTCCCCCAGGCTGTGGTCAGCGGTCAAGGGCGCAGACCTGCCCCCTGTGAGTGGCCGGGGAAGGAAGTGGGGGCTTGTCTGAAGCCTGGGCACCAGCCATTCCCAAGAAAACACAGGCCCTGGAAAGGCCTCTCCACGGGCAAAGGCCACAGACCGACCGCGTCCAGAGAGCAGCTGCTTTTACTGGACACCAGGGTCTCCCCCTGCCCCTCCCTTCTATCTGCCCCTCGGTGCTGGGAGCTGTGCACACAGAGGGTGCCCGCATGCAGAAAACATACACAAGCACCCAGCCTCCTTCTCCGGGGAGTGTGTGGGGACACTGGGAAGCCGGGTCTGAAATTCCTACAGTGAGCACAGATCCAAGTTGAGAAATTGGAGATTAAATTAAAATTAAGAAAATGGGGAAAAAACAACTGTGAAAAAAATTCAATGTGTTTGCTCATTGATCTTGCCCTCTCACTAGCCTCGTTTCCAGGGGAAACTGGGGCTCAGAGGCCCTGAGGGGCCATGTGCCCTCAGGTGGGCGGAACCGCCTTCCTGGGCCTCCATCTGCCTGCCTCCCAGCGGGACCCGCTGCGGCCGCTCCCAGGCCCTGACTGCCACGCGCTCCCTCCGCGGCACTTGGTTTTCTGATTTGGTCGGTTCTTTTCAAATGAAGTGAAACTTCAAAGGCTGCGGGCCCAGCAGAGCCGCCTGGGCTCTGGGGCGCCCAAGGAAGTCAGGGTGGGGCAGCACTCTCCACACGAGCAGGGGCACTGGGAAGGAAATCACCTGCAGGTCACAGGTGTGTGCAGCAGCCTCGAAAAATGGCTCCAATTTCAAACGGTCCCCTGCACATCTTGGAAGGGGAGACATACAGGGGGGACATTAACCCGATAAGCTCGTGTCCCTGTTGCTCAGGGCAAACTTCGTGGGGACAAGAGCCCGCGAGGCAGGGCCGTGCCAGAAGGTACACCTGGCCAGTGAACAGTCAGAGCCCCAGTCAAGGTCCAATTTCCTCAGCGAAGAGCACTGGGCCCCCACGGCACTGCCACTTCCCGGAGCTGGCACCAGGCTGCCATAGGCCAACGAGCCCACTGTCCCTGACTTGGGCTGCGGGCCAATGTCCAGGAGGGGCTGATGGGGCTGCAGAGCGCCTGGCCCGACGGCAGGAGCTGGGGAGGCCCACAGTGACGGAAACCACCACCACGATCCGCCCTGTCTGCACTGACGGAGACCTCAGGCCAAAGGTGCCCCCAGCCTGCCAGTGACGAAGCAGGACATGGGATGGAGAGGGCAGCAGCTATGAGCCTGCAGGGAGGGGTGCTTGTTATTGTCACGTTCCTGGATCTTGGTGACAAGCTTCTAGGGTGTTTGTAGTCATTTAAAGGTCAGGACAAGTTTTTCCTGGGGAGGCCCCCCTGGGACTTCAGGTCTGGCCATACACAGGGACAGTGAGACACTGGAGTGGGGGGAAGCCTGGGGCCACGGGCCCAGCCCCACCGTGGCGGGAGCCATGTGGCTCAAGCTCTGGTTCCAGGACTCTCTGAGAGTCTCGGTTTCCACACCAGCCTGGCCCTGCCGTGACCAGCCACGGGGCAAGCACTGGGGCTGCCGTCCCTGAATGCCAGGCAGGAATCCCAAAGTGAGCCAGAGTAAACCCCTAGATGCTGCTTGGGAGAGACACGTAAGCCCCCTGCCCCACTTGAGAAAAACTTCCTGGGCGTGTTCCACACTCAGATCTGCGTGGGCCTGGACACGGTGACCAGGCTGTGCGCCCTCCATGGCCTATGCCTTGGGGAGATGAGCGGCCTCCAGGGCTCTCTCCCTTAGGAGGCACCCTAAGTACCCTGTGTTCCCCAGCCCAGCAAGCAGAGGCCTCACCAGGCCAAGTGCCCAGACAGCCTGTTCACAGAGCCAGCCAAAGCCAAAGTGCTGGGCAGAGCTGTCTGATCTGGCCTTTGCCACACGGCGCAGGGACAGTTCCTGAATTCATCGCCCAGGGGCCTGGGCCAGGAGACCCAGGAACGGGGCAGGGGGCTCAGCGTGAGGGGGACTCAGGGGACCCTGAGGTGGACAGTCCTGGCCTGTACCCAGGGTCTGCCAGGCTCTGGGTGCCCAGGACTCTGGCTTTTGTGAGGATAACCATCTCAGCGCTTAGATGGCAGCCCTGCCTGCCCACCCCCAAGTCAGGGGTTTCCTGCTGGGAGGTGGGCCCTACAAAGGTGGGGACACCATCTTGTCCTGATGACCAGTGTGTCCTTGGCACCTGGCTCAGGGCCTGGCACAGGGGGAGTGAAAGAGCCAGAGGAGGGCTGGCCTGCTGCTTGGGGTCCCCCAGTACCTTCCCCTCTTAGCCTGTTTCCCCTCAATGAGGGACACACCAGACACGGGCGGTACAGCACACCAGGGGGTGGGGGTCATGAATGCAGGGGCAGAGATGAGAGTGTGGGGTGATGTGGACTCTAAGCGGCCCCCTCTCTCTGAGAGGCACAGTGTGAGTGGAGGAAGGTTAGGGAGCCCACAGAGCCCCAACTCCAGGCCAGAACAGAGGTGCAAACAGCGGCCCTCTGCTGCTTCCCACCTGCCCAGTCTGGGGCTCGGAGGATGGCCCGATGCTCCCGTAGCCGCTTCGGTTTCTAGTAAAGGCCTGTAGCTGAGCCCTCCACCCAGCCCAGAATGGCGGCTGTGTCGGCTGGCCGGGCTATCCCCCAGGGTCAGCCAGGGATCAGCCCCCTCCATCCCTGCCAGGGCCTGCTGCACCAGAACTGGCCACAACCGGCCGACTGACCCTGACAGGACTCATCCCAGCGTGAGACCAGAAGGCTCGGCACCCCCAGCACCGTACCCCTGCCCAGACCTCGGCAGGAGCCACTGGCAGCGCTACCTTACACAGCTCGAAATCAAGCAGTCCCTTCCCCTTCCTTACACAGTCACGGGAACATCAGCGTTCGCCTGTGAACCGTATAGAGCAAAGCAACTTCACCCCTTTGCTCAGCTTCAGGAGCTCTGCCCCGCCTGGGGCAAAAGTCCGGCTCCCAGGCCCCAGCTCCCAACAGGCCCCGGCAGAAGGAACCAAAAGTGAAAACAAGATTTGTCCAGAGAACAACCGAACAACCAACAGCCGAAGCCCTGGTCTGATCCCGTCCCTTCAGGATCGGGTAGAAAGTGCTCCCCAAAGGGACACCGGGGACAGCGGACCCACCGCCCCTGCTGTGTCCCCTAATGCCGCACCCACACAGCATCCAGCTTCCCCTCCAGCCCACGCCAGGCCCCTTGGGCCCCCACCACCAGACAAGAAGCTTGTCACCCAGTCACCCCCAAAGCCACAGGGCTGAGCCCCCAGCAGACTGTCCCTATCCAGACTGGGAGACAGGCAGACCCCACCAAGTCGCAGCCTCAAGCTTAGGGAGGAGGTCCTTTGACCCTTCCCGCCATAGCAGTGGGGAGGCGCCGTCACCCCTCTGGGGGCATCCCCAGAACGCAGCACCTGGGTCTGGACTCCCACGCTGCCAACTGGGTCCCACACTCACCAGGCGCTTCTGGGGCCGCACCAGCGGCCGGTTGACCCCGTTCATCTTGTGGTAGAGGCCGCAGGCATTGCACAGGTAGTGGCCGGTGCCATCCCGGCGCCAGAGCGGTGTGGACAGGGCCCCGCAGTTGACACACTCACGACCTTCACCAGGGAACTCCTCCAAGAAGTCAGACACTGCGGGGACAGGCAGCTCATGGGACGAGGCCCTGTCCCTCCCTGGCACTCGAGGGCGTCTGCGGCACTTTTTCAAACTTTTAAAAATGTGCCTTAAATTTATTTTATTGTAAAGTATATTTTATCTAGCTGTAAATTTACATGCAGTAAAGTTTGTGCAAATTTAAAACACTCCTCAGGGTTGGTTTTATAAGGTGGGGAAGGTTTCACAAATTAACCGTTGGTGAGGAAACAGGGAACTGCCCTCAACCCCAGCCGGGGTCCAGCTCTAGGGTCTGCGATTTCCACCCGCTGGGGAGGTAGGGGGTCCGCACAGAGGGAGCCAGGGAGGGGTCTGTCCTGCTCAAAGCGACAGCATCGCGGGGCCAGAGCTCCAGATCCCACAGGGAACGAGGCCCTCAGCTTGGCTGTGGTCGCCCGCTCGGGAGGCAGCTCAGCGCAGCCCGCGCGGCCTGGCCTGAAGGGCGGCCGAGGCCTGGGTTTCATTCGGTTCGGCCACGGGGTGAGAAGGTGACAGGGCCTGACTCCGCAGAAACGGGTGGAGAGTTCTCAGCCGTGTGGGTCTGGAGTCCGGCTTCCCCAGCTGCGGCGGGGAGGCCGGGGCCAGGTCCTTACTGGGAGAGACGAGCTGGCAGCCTACGGAAAGAAACCCGTGGCTTGAACTTCGCGAAATCACTTCCGAAACTTTTCAGAGACGTTTACCGTGCAGGCTCCATGGGCACCATCCAAAATGCTGGCTTCGGATGAAGGAAGGTAGACATAGGTACACTCCCCTCTAACGTGTAAGGGAATTCAGGGCCCCGGGCTCCGCGGGGCGGCGAGGCCGTGGCAGACGCTGCACTGTCGGGT